CTTATCCATATTGCTGTAATACGCGTTCAAAGTTGAAAAATTGAAATTAGAACGTTCGAAAAAGCAGTGTTTTCACATTTCATTGATTTACTCGAAAACTATAATAGATAGAATGCATCCAAACGTGATGAACGCTGTAATACGCGTTCAAAGTTGAAAATTGAAATTAGAACGTTCGAAAAAGCAGTGTTTTCACATTTCATTGATTTACTCGAAAACTATAATAGATAGAATGAATCCAATATATGCATATGAAAGTGAATTTTCAGCAAGTATACATAGAATGAATCAAAAAGTATATGCATATGAAAGTTGAATGTTTGGAGAATCCAGCAAGTATAGATACATTCCTGTGCTCTTATCCATATTGCTGTAATATGCGTTCAAAGTTGAAAAATTGAAATTAGAAAATTGGAAACCACTGGCTTAAGGAGTGATGAGGAGAAGAGATGTCCCGGATTGTGCACCTACTACATCATTTCCCAAAGTTGTGTTCAGACATATTATCTGTGATTTCTTTTTTTGTGATTATACTCGTTAAGCGAGGTTTCACTGTATAATATTTTTCATATTTCAAATATTCATATAGAATATCATAAATTGTAATATATTTATATGCATTAGTAACATGTTATTAGTTGCGAGTACAGTTCAAAGTGCACAATAAATATCTTATATTTGCCGATGGTGGCAAATTCTTGATTGTAAACTGAAGAGAAGATCGAAAAAATCGTGTTTAAATTGATCCATGTGAACATCACTTATCTCAGCATCCAAATATATTGATCTCTTTATCGTCTTGCAGAAAATGCATTAACAGGAAGTATTTGAAACAATCTTCATACAATTATCTTACTGCATGGGTTTTGTAAGAAATTATGTTTTCCTGCGTTTTTTTTTTGGTATTTAATGCTTTCCGGAGAGGAACAAATGCTGAAACTGATCTGAAAATTTGTTTTGCGATATTTCGCACTGATGTTACGAAGTGTGAAAATCTTAGACCGTTTGTGGTTGATGATGACCAGAATAAGACGTTAATTAAACAAAATCTAGGTTGTACGACAAGAAATATGACAAAGATAATCAATTTATCTCAAAACATCGTGACAAACAATGTGTATAAGTGTCTCAATACAAAATTTAGTTAAATCAACAATTTGAGTGAACAAAATCTAAACAGACTCAACTCAATCTGCAAATTATTGCTCAAACGCGATGAAAAGTAAATTGTTTAGATAAATTTTCACTCAACGAAGTTCTTTGAAGTCTTGCAAAACATATTTGAAATTACCTCTTCTCTAACGAACCAAACATATTAATTTGACCTAAATTTCACGATAACAAATATAAACTCTATATGACGTGAGTTACTTAAACATTTTGTCTAATATGAAATCACCGGCCTAAGTCCAACTTGTTTTTGATGATTCACAATCAGATTGTTAATATTCTCTTAACAATGTAATAAATTGGAGCGTTCGAAAAGATATGATACATTATTCGAATCACTATTAGTCACTTATTTACGATTACAAATTTCCGTTTCACTACAATTTGAATATATAAATTCCTACATATTTCTTAACAAAACTGCATTCATTTCCTAAATATTTTATTAATTTATATTCATTTATAATTAACTTACCTTTTACATTGATTATGCAGTGGTAATTTGTGCAATAAATTATTGGTTCAATCGAAAGTAAATTAAAGTTCTTCACTTTATTAGAAGCATTAGATTTATACGAACGAAAATACAATTATACAAAATCTCATACAAATTAAATACAAATATATATATATATAATATAAATTAGTCTTCCATTTAGTTAGTAAACTTTGAATTCCATAAAAGCTTTTTTTCTTTAAAGGAATAAGGATTGAATACAAGAAGAAAGAAAAATCCGATTCAAACGATATAAGAAAGATATATATATATTTACATATTGCATCCAATTCAATAATTACAAATAGTAGAAAAAAAAATCTTCCTTTCTTTTTTATTTTATTATTATTATATATAATAACAAGGACAGTCTATTCAATGTTTCTCTTTTTTGTTTTTCTTTTTGTTTCCCCAATTTAACATTTAGACTTATTTACATCTAGAATTATTTTTGTACAGTGTTGTGCAACTAATTGTTTCCATGAATAAGTCTGAACGAGATATTTCGGAACAGGAATGTGAGTAAATATATAAAAAAAGAAATGCACGTATAAAGTAACGTTTTTGGTGCGTTTGTAAAACAAAAAAAGGAAGAAATAAACATAAAAATAATATGTAAACGAACAAGGGAATCGTTATAAACAATAATAATTAAACAACGTACAAATAAAGCATTCGAGAGAAAAAAAAAATAATCAAAATACAACAAACATAATAAATATATATATATAAATTGCAAGTAATAATAAATCCTATGAAAATAAACAGAAAAAAATAATAATTTGTAAACGTTTTCGTTTTTTTTATATCTTAACCAAGTAAAATATCTTATTTATATAATATAATTTGAGTTACCTCAGCTGCGAATAAGTTATTTTAAATAAAATTTAAAATTTCTCAGTGTAATAATAAAAATAAAATGATATCAAAATGAATATTGAAAAATATTAACCAAACCCACATGTATATATAAAATATATATATAGAACGAAAAAAAAAACAAAGTTTTAATACTTGAATTTCTCTTATACATAAATATAAAAAAGGTGTAAATTTCCTTAATAATAATTTAAAAAAAAAATCATATTGGTAAAGTTGCTGCAATTGTGAATTTTCAAATAATATTTGTTGACTAGCAAAAATTGTCAAAAAGAATGAATCCAAACGTTTTTAAATATTGTATTTTTTGTTTTTATTCAAATTTCCGCATGCAGCTCACTTGGAAACGAATAGTAATAGTTTTGTTTTCTACCTGCTACCATTGGATGACGAATTCTTCCTCATCTTCAACGTCTGCTTTTTGTGTTCGTCCTCGAAGTCCTTTTCCGTTAGATTTAATTTCCCCATATGATTAATCAGGTAGTCCTCGCAGAGTACCTCTTCAGGTGGATTCCTCAGAAGATCGAGAGTTTCGCAAAGACCGGGACATCTCTTCCGATTCTTCGCGCTACCCAAACAACCGACCAATATGACGAGCGCCACTTTGAAGAGCACCTTGATGCCGGCGCAGAGGAAGATGTCCCAGATCCTGAGCAACGAGTCCCAGGGCAGGGTACGCGTGAACGCACAGAGGAACCACTCCGTGCAGTAATATACAGGTTCGGCGTTAACTTTCTTCAAGTGCTTGTACGCGGGCGTGCAGACTTTCTTCAGCAAAGCTTGCAGGATCATTCCATCTCTTTGTATTATCTCCATCGAGGGAGAATAATAGTTTTTCAGGTACTTATCTGATATGCTCACTAGACACCAAAACGCTTGCTCGGCGGGCATGTGCATTAGCAGGAAGGCGGCAACAGGTGCCTGGGCCTGACAATATCCAACCTTCGGATTATAAACCACGTATGCCCTCAGCACATTGGCCAACTCTTTTTGCCTGCAAACAATGCAAACCCAAATAAAAACCAATGAATAAATGATGAAAATAAATAACTTACCCAGGTTTATCTTCTGAGCAAAACATTTCATGGAATGGAAACTGCCTGTGCAGATCCTTCCTGATATCGTCAATTGCCTTCGGGTCTGCTTCATTGGTCAAGCAATGCTCATACTTCTCCTGATTCGTCTCCATCAGTATCATACCACCGCACAGATGAGCCCATGCTTTGGGTCTCACAGACATTGGAATACCCTTTCTGCATCTCTCCCTCACTTTGGTATAATTCTTCTCCATGTAGAACGTCCATTTGGCGAGCATTTTCAGCCACTTGCGCTCACGTCTCAAGATAATTTCAGGGGAAGGACCCTGTCTCGGCTCAGGGGAATACTGTGTGCCTCCCAAGAAACCATGTCGATCAGGTACAGTCGATATGACACTGCCATCAACCAAAGTGCTCGATTCTGAACACACGGATTCAGTCTCATCCTTCATGGAGGTTGCCATTTGCTTAGATTTTAATGTTTATTCCGATTGCTTACAATTCCCAAAATCAGTTCACAAACAATAAGCTGCGCATCTTTCACGAGGCATCCCTGAAAAACTCACCATGCAAATTCAACTCTTACTGCAATTAGTCTTTTACAATTAATCGAGAAATTAAATAAAAAATGAAAACAATTTATTAGGGATGTGTTTTTTCCCATACAACGTATGACAGTTTAAACGTCAACTGTGACAGTACGAAATGAAAATAGTAATAAATAAACAATTCAATTTATTAACAAAATAATTTATCCAGTATTAATAATATCAATATAATTAATTTCATCAGTATTTCATACTATATTACATAAATCCATATAGTTGTGTTTTATAATAAATTTATGACTACAATGTTGCCTATCTAACTAACTTTTAATTATTCTTAAATGCATAAAGTTTTAATTGAATTCACTTTTAATTAAAATATTTTGTTAAAGTATTGTAAATCAATATTTCCGTCCTTAAATCTATACAATAATATATTAAATTAGTGTTTTAATGTCCCGAATAATAAGCAAACAATATTCTAATAGAAATCTAATTAGATTATAATATCTAATTGGAAAGAAAAAGCATTTTATTTAATTGAAATATTACACTAATTCAATTGCATAGTTTTACATTGAAGTTTATTTAAAAAGAAAAATACATTGATTAGTGTGTCCTTGGTTGTATATTTTTAATTAGAAAAGTAATTAATTTATCCATATAGTTGTGTTTTTGTGTTTTATAATAAATTCATGACTATAATGTTGCCTATCTAACTAACTTTCAATTGTTTTTAAATGCATAAAGTTTTAATTGAATTCACTTTTAATTAAAATATTTTATTAAATCAATATTTCCGTACTTAAATCTATATATTAACATATTAAATTAGTGTTTTATTGTCCTGAATACTAAGCAAACAATATTATAATAGAAATCTAATTAGATTATAATATCTAATTGGAAAGAAAAAACATTTTATTTAATTGAAATATTATACTAATTCAATTGCATAGTTTTACATTGAAGTTTATTTAAAAATAAAAATACATTGATTAGTGTGTCCTTGGTTGTATATTTATAATTAGTAAAGTAATTAATTTAGTAATTATAATAAAATGCTATCAACTTACTATTATTTTTTATATTATAATTAAGTATAAATAGTTATAGTAATAATAATATTAAAGAAAAAATTGTTTACATTTAATTATTAAGATAATATTATAATTTAATACAAAAATTAATTTGAATATTATTGAATAAAACCAGTTAAATGTACTAAACTTCTATAATTTTCATTCATCGAAATATAAACTGATACAAATGTTTCAGTAAATCAGAAAACAAATATTTATTTTTATATTTTTCTTTTCAAGATGGGTACAAAGTTCAAAAACCTCTCTTACAATAATTTCAGTAGTGGAAGTGGCAGCAACAAACCAAATTGGAAAAATACCTTAAGCATAATCATTAATAATGGCTTTGTTAAAATTAGTTTTACCGAAAATCAGTAAGTGATTTGCATTAAAAACTATGTAATATATTCACTTCATTTTTGTTTGAATATGGAGATTTTAATGATAAAATTATAATTTTATTTATTGTTTCAGATGTCTCTGGTATTCGTAGTAGGGGCATTGCATCCCTATCGGCATTGTCTGAAACGCATCAGATGTTGCAGAAGACATGCAGAGACTTTGCAGACGCTGAATTAAAGCCAATTGCTGCTCAAGTAGATAAAGAGCATCTGTATCCGAAGGAGCAGATCAAGAAAATGGGTGATCTTGGTTTGATGGCTGTGGCCGTTTCTGAAGAGTATGGTGGTACTGGTTTAGATTATTTGGCTTATTCAATTGCCATGGAGGAGATTAGTCGGGGCTGTGCAAGTGCTGGCGTTATTATGTCAGTGAACAACAGCCTGTATATTGGACCTGTTGATAAATTTGGAAATAAAGCTCAAAAAGAGAAATACATAAAACCATTCGCAACTGGTGATAGAGTAATACATGATTATGTAATGCTTGATGTTTTGCTTAAGTAATTGTGGGATAATTGTTTAGGTGGGATGTTTTGCCTTGTCTGAGCCTGGAAATGGATCTGATGCTGGCGCTGCTTCGACAACAGCTAAAGAAAGTGATGGTGGATACATTTTGAATGGGACCAAATCCTGGATTACCAATGGATTTGAATCTGAAGCAGCTGTGGTTTTGGCCACCACTGATAAATCACAAAAACATAAAGGTTACTTTGGCATGATCAATGTTACTGTATATTATGAATTGATATTACAGGTATATCGGCTTTCGTAATTCCGAAACCTATCGCCGGTCTTGAGCTTGGAAAGAAAGAAGATAAGTTGGGGATTAGAGGATCGTCGACGTGTCTGTTGATCTTCGAAGATTGCAAAGTGCCCAAGGAATGTTTACTGGGAAAACCAGGAGAAGGTTTCAAAGTAATTATTTATGTTATATGATTATATGATTTTTGTTCTGGTAACATTTAATTGCAGATCGCGATGATGACTTTGGATGCTGGTAGGATTGGAATCGCCAGTCAAGCTTTGGGAATTGCTCAAGCTTCCCTCGAGGTTGCCGTCGAGTACGCTTCGAAGCGTTTGGCTTTCGGTAAACCGTTGACAAAACTCCAAACAATTCAGAACAAATTGGCCGAGATGTCTTTGCAATTGGAATCTGCAAGGCTTTTGACCTGGCGCGCAGCTTGGCTCAAAGATAACCATAAACCATACACCAAAGAAGCGGCGATGGCCAAATTGGCAGCTAGCGAAGCAGCGACTCTCCTCAGTCATCAATGCATTCAAATCCTAGGAGGAATGGGGTAAAAACATTGATTGTACACATAAAAAAAATGATTATAAAATGAAAATATTTGCAGTTACGTATCCGATATGCCTGCAGAGCGTCATTACAGAGACGCCAGGATCACTGAAATTTACGAAGGAACTTCTGAAATTCAGAAGTTGGTTATTGCCGGAAACCTACTGAAAGAGATGGGCTTGTAGAATTTAACTTGAAAAAAATAAACATTTTATATTTTTATTTTTAAGATCGACATCTTTCTCG